GGACTGGGATCCTGGGGCTCCAGGCTCCCAGATTTTGGATTTTCCCTGGATAACCCCACCCCCCTCCTCACCCTGCAATGGTTTTAATTAAAAGCCAAGCCCTCGACTCCGTAATTAACAAAATTAGCAAAGAATCACATCAAGTATCCTAATAACAAAATCCAGCTTTTTTCCCCCTGAAAACGCTTGGAAAACCCAACTCCAGGGCAGCCTCCCACCCTAAGAAAAAAATCCCTCTCTTCCCAAAAAACTCCACGGATTAAACGTAAGGAACAAACAAGTTTGATTTTATTTACAGACTCCATGAACAAAATTTGTATTTCCAGAGGGTTTTTTTTTTCCATTTTTAGGACAACAAAATCCAACTGGATTTTTCCAAAGTGTGGTGCTGGAATTTTGGGTCTTCGTCATTCCAAAGCACAGGAGGTGTTGGCAAAATCCCTGGGAAGGGAATAAATCCCCCCTGGACCCATCAAACCCTGGAATTCCCAACGGATCCAGGCCAGATCCGCCCATCCAGAGGCAAAACTGGAGGCACTGGTTCCCCAAATTCCCCGAAATCTCTTGGATCTGGGATTCCAAGATAAAATCAGGGAATAAAATCCCCACCCCCTCCTGGAGCAGCCATTCCCAAAAATCCCAAACTCCTCGGAATTGGAGTCCCCTGGGGGATTTTTGGGGCTGCTCCAAACCCTCCCCGTGTCCCCAGAAAAAGCTGGGAAGCTTTTCCATGGGGGAAGGAGGAGACGTGATTCCAAAAAAAGCCAGATAACATCAGGAGAAAAGAGATGGATAATGCAGAATTCCCAGGAAATCTGTTGGGAAAAGCCATCCTCAGTAGTAAGGTCGACGTGGGTTGTTCTATAGGGAGAAAAAAACAAACCATGGGAAAATCATCAGGATTGGGGATTTTATCCCAAAAATCATCACCTGGATTCTCTGGGAAAGCCACTGGAATGAGACATTTTCCAGTTCCTTTTCCCCAAAATTAAAGGCAGCTTTTGGCTGGAAAGGGAAAAGGGAAACTCCAAGCTTGGTTTTGCCCCCTGGAAAATGGTAATTCCAAAGGAATAATGGGATTTGTGGAGAAGCTTCCCATGGCAGGGGTTTAACTGGGATAAAGCTGGGAATAAAACTGGGATTTGAACGGAAAAAAAACGGGAAGGAGAATTCTGCAGCCAGGGAATACGGGGAGGACGATTTGGTTCAGGATGAGGAGAGGAATTCCATCCAAGAGGAATTTCCCAGCTGCCAACATTCCCAGAGCTACACCAGGGATTCCAGGGATCTGTCCCTGTGCCTGCCCGGGTTTGGGACGCTCCCATTCCCATGGATCCGTCCCTGCCCCGTTCCAATGGATCCGTCCCTGTCCTGTTCCTGAGACTGTCTCCCATCCCATCCCATCCCATCCCATCCCATCCCATCCCATCCCATCCCATCCCATCCCAATTCCCACGATCCCAATTAAATCCCATCCCAATGGGTTGGGCTGGAAGCAGTATGCCAGCATCATGCGCTTGTGGAAGCCTCGTACTCACTAACCCCATCCCATCACCAATCCCATGACTGCATTCCCGCTATCCCAAACCCATGATCCTGATCCCATTCCCGTTATCCCAATCCCATTATCCCGTTGTTACCCCATTATCCCAATCCCATACCAATGGATTAGGCCGGAAGCAGCAGGACAGCATCATGCGCTTGTGGAAGGCCTTGTACTCACTCATTGTTCCAATTCCCATTCCTGTTATCTCATTTCCATTATCCCATTCCTGTTATCCCAATCCCATTCCCATTATCCCATTCCCATTATCCCAATCCCATACCAGGGGATTAGGCCGGAAGCAGTAGGACAGCATCATGCGCTTGCGGAAGGCCTCGTACTCACTCATTGCTCCCAATCCCATTCCCATTATCCCGTTCCCGTTATCCCGTACCAGGGGGTTGGGCCGGAAGCGGTACGCCAGCATCATGCGCTTGCGGAAGGCCTCGTACTCCTCACTGATCCCATTCCCATTCCCGTTATCCCGTTATCCCATTATCCCGTTGTTATCCCATTGTTATCCCGTTGTTATCCCGTACCAGGGGGTTGGGCCGGAAGC